CTAAATGACTAAGAAGTGGTCTCTGTAAGAAAGGACAGCCTCTGGGCTCTGACCACATAGACATTCAGACACACAGCTGTCCCCTTCTCTGTAGTCTCGCCTTTCACAGTTTTGGTTACCCGTTGCCAACCATGGTCCTGGAGCAGATGGCCCTCCCCTGACACATCGTCAGAAGGTCAGGCTAGGCTGACGCTGTGTCACACGCCTGCGTCACTCACCTCCCTTCATCTCATCCCGGGGGCATTTCGTCATCTCAGGTCATTACAAGAAGGGTGAATGCAGGACAGTAAGATATATTGAGAGAGAGAGTCTAGAGTCACATAACTTTTATTACAGTATATCGTTATAATTGTTCTATTTTATTATTTGTTGTTCATTTCTTACTGTGCCTAATTTAGAAATTGAATTTTATCATAGGTATGTATGTATAGGAAAGAACGTAGTCTATACAGGGCTTGGTACCATCTGTGGTTTCAGGCATCGACTGGGGGTGTTGGAACACATCCCCCAGGGATAAGGGAAGACAGCTGTGTAAGGCATGTACCCATACAGGCAACCAGAACAATGACAAGAGTATGTACCTACTACTAATACACTATCTGACAGTAAATGATGTCATTATTTATTTATTTAGGGCAAGAGCCTGAGTGGGGGGGAGGGGCAGAGGGAGAGAAGAATCTTAAGCAGGCTCCACACTCAGCGTGGAGCCCAACATGAGGTTTGATCTTATAACCCTGAGATCATGACCTGAGCTAAAGTCAAGAGTCAGATGCTTAACCAACTGAGCCAGCCAGGCCCTGTCTTCATTTATTTAAAATGAGGTTTGGTGGGCACCTCGGTGGCTCAGATGGTTAAGCATCTGCCTTTGGCTCAGGTCATGATCTCAGGGTCCTGGGATTGAGTCCCATATCGGGTTCCTTGCTCAGCAGGGAGCCTGCTTCTCCCTCTGCCTCTCTCTCTGTCTCTTGTGAATAAATAAATAAAATCTTTAAAAAAAAATAAAATGAGGTTTGGCAATCCTAAAATTTGTATGGAACCACAAAAGACCCTGAACAGCCAAAGCAATTTTGAAAAAGAAGAGCAAAGCTGGAGGCATCATGATTCCAGACTTCAAGCTCTATTACAAAGCTGTAGTGATCAAACAAGTATGGTGCTGGCACAAAAATAGACACATAGATCAATGGAACAGAACAGAGAACCCGGGAATAAACCTACAATTATATGTCAATTAATCTTCAATAAAGAAGGAAAGAATATCCAATGGGAAAAAGACAGTCTCTTCAACAAATGGTGTTGGGAAAACTGGACAGCAACATGCAGAAGAATGAAACTGGTCCACTTTCTTACACCACACACAAAAATAAAATCAAAATGGATTAAGGACCTAAATGTGAGACCTGAAACCATAAAAATGCTTGCAGAGAACACAAGCAGTAATTTCTCTGATGTTGGCCATAGCAACTTTTTCTAGATATGTTTCCTGAAGAAACAAAAGCAAAGATAAACTACTGGGACTACATCAAAATAAAAAGCTTCTGCACAGTGAAGGAAACAATCAGCACTACAGTGACCCTATGACCTAGTAATTGCACTACTGGGTATTTACCCCCCAAATACAAAAACACTAATTCAAAGGGATACATGCACCCCTATGTTTATTGCAGCATTATTTGTAATAGCCAAGATATGGAAGCAGCCCAAGTGTCATCAACTGATGAATGGAGAAAGAAGATGTGGTGTATACATACAGTGGAATATTACGCAGCCACCAAAAAGAAGGAAATCTTGCCATTTGCAATAACACGGAGGGAGCTAGAGGGTATTATGCTAAGCGAAAAGCAGTCAGAGGAAGACAAATACCACATGATCTCACTGATACGTGCAACTTAAGAAACAAAACAAATTAACAAAGGGGATAAAAGAGTGATGCAAACCAAGAAACAGACTCTTAACTCTAGAGAACAAACTGATGGTTGCCATGGGGGAGGTGGGTGGGGGCATGGGTTAAATAGGTGATGGGGATTAAAGAGGGCACTGGTTGTGATGAGCACTGGGTGGTGTATGGAAGTGTTGAATCACTAAATTCTAATCTGATACTATTACACCTAGGTTAACTAACTGGATGAGGTTTAGGTTTATAGATTTCAATGTTTATGGCCAAATGGGATAAATGAGTAGAGTAAGGAATGAAGAAATTGCAGAGAACATTTAGAAAACTAGCAGAGAGAGCTGAGGATTATAGAGGTAATTAAAACAATAGATAGCTGAAGCAATTATAAAATGCCTATTTGTGCAACAAATTGAGTATAACACTAAATCAATATTTCTGGGGAAGAATGATCTGAATTACAGTGTGTATCTTTACCAAGTGTGTGTGTGCACGTTTGTGTGTTTGTGTTTTTCTATAGATATATAATCAGTCAAGTCTCACAACTCTGCTTTATGTAAAAGCAGAGTGTAGCCTATATTTTCAAAAATTATAATAAGATGATGTATGCAAATGAAAAAATATTTATACACATAAGCTAAAATGACTGTCATCTGTAATTAAAATTTTGTAAGAGGAAAAAAATCAGTGATTTCTGATTTGAAAGCCAAGACAGTATTCCATTAGAATTACTAGGAGTAATATTGTATTACAATTACTATCAGACCACAGAATAGAGGAGAGCATGAGGAGAACGTATGAGAAGGATGAACACTCACCGGGGACACAGTCGCTCACTGACTTGAACGTGAGTGACCCCACAAGAGACTACCAGTCTCTGATGGAGAAGGAAGACGTTGCTGAGGAATTGATAAACTGCCCAAAAGACAGGTTTAGCAATGGGGAGTAGCATTGAAGACTCCAAGTTAGGTTGAATCCATTATCTTGGTCTACAGACAAGGACTTTTTAAAACCAGATACAGAGGTCAGAGGAGTAGAGATGGAGACAGGAGGTCAGCATACCACTTCCTAAGTAGTTAGAGCAAAGGCTCACTGTCCAAGAAAGATGAAGGTGGCACACATTCTTTTTATCTAGTAAGTTCTCAGGAGTTATAGCTGATTTGCTGTTTCTTCTGTCAAATGGATGGTGCTGAACAACAATGCAAAGCTTTTCTCATGTCCACCCCACAAGCAGAAATGGGAAGGGGAGCTTTCATTAGGACTCTGTCCCCTTTCCTTAAATATCCTTTGCTCCCCAATTCATGCCATAAGGTGCATGAATGACTCAGAAAATACAGTTTTTCTTATTCTCATGTAGAATGGCAGATTCTCTCTCCATAGCCTCTGCTCTCCCCCCACCTGTCTCTACTTCAGCGACCAGCAGGTGCTGCTGCGGGTGCTGCCCATCCCCCAGAGCCCCCACACCTGTGTCGGCTGGGGCGGACCCCTCCTGCTGCAGGGCAGGGCAGCGCTCTCAGCTTCTCCACCCAGCGCTCAGGCTGCCCTGCCATACAGGCTCATCTTTCCACCAGTGGTTCAGTCTTTTTGTCTTCAAGATATACAGGATTTTAGGGTTATTTATTCATATATTGCATTGAATGTTGTCCTACTCTTGAGGGCAGATAAGTGTATTTCCTTAATTAAATCTGAGATTTAATGACATCACAACCAGCCAATATCCCGATTTTCTCTTGCACACACTGATGATTGCATTGCTTACACCAACTACTTGAGTGATCAGGAAGGGCACTGGGAAACTCTGGCTTCATCCTGTTTGAGAGTCGAGCCTAAATGCGCTTAGTTTCAGGATCCCTATGCAGTCCTGGGCACTCTCAAGAAGCCTCTCACCCAGGGCACAAACAAGGATGGTGAGGTTACAAGATGCACAGGGAGACAGCACCTCAGCCCGAGAAGGTCAGATTGGGAGTCTGATTAAAACCATGAAGCATATGGTGAACATCAGCCTCTTCCCCCCAGAGCAAAGGACTGAGGTCTCTTAGGCTTCACATGCTGAAGGACAGAACAGTTAGGGGGAGAAAGGGGATGAAAGGGGATCTCTTTATACAATAAAGGGTCATCTTCTATCACTCATTATTCCAAATGGGAGTGCAGGCTCACAAAGCAAGTAAGTGTAGGGAAGATCTAAATAAATGAGTAAGGGATACTTCCATAAACAATGATTACAGGAAAGTGCAACTGTGAGTTTTATCTTCGTGATTTAAAGCTAACGTGACGTCAGAACACCATAGTCTCATACAGTGCTGTCACAAACAGTACGGACTATGACGAAATCTGAAGCAGTTACCATAAAGGTGAACTCGGACAACATACCGACATAATGGTTGTGCACCTCACGGGCCCACCGCACACTATTCTTAGAGCAGTGCTGCAGGGTCCAGGTCATTACTGTCCTGTCACAGACGAGGAGACGGAGGCTTTGCCTGGGGCCACCAGCTAATGAGGGCAGGACTGAGGCTGGAGCCCGGGCTCAGCTGGCTCCTTCGCTCTCCCACACCCATCCTTTTCATATGGGGTACAGTGATGGAAAACTGGTAAGCCAAAAAGTAAACACAAAAGCTAGAAAATGGGTTGAAAGAGAGGGTAGAAACCGAGGTTATTTATTTCTGAAACTCTCACATTTTGGTGACCCTGTGAGGCCCCAAAGAGACACTCCGGTAAAACTGTAGCACAGTGGGAGCTTTATTTTTAAATGAAAAAATTTTAACCTGCAGTCCAGGGGATGTGAAGAACTTAAGCTTTATCCATTCCTTTATCTGAAGAGATTATTTAAGTAAGTGTCACGAAATGGCCAAACCAAAGTTGTTTTGAATTTGATCTTCTTCCAATTTTATGAATTTTATGATTTAACTAGAAAAGAAAATCTAGAAGTATTTTACTGCCTGGGTTGGAAAGCCAGTTTATGTTGAATGGGGTTTTTAGCAGCATCTCAAACATTTGTAAGAAGCCTACAAATGAGGGGGGTCTTTGGGCTTCACTGCCTTTGCAGGCCTCCCTGAGCCCAGTGAATCACTGGTGGGCACATACTATTAGAGAATCAAGGATCTTGACCTACCTTTTCTTCAAAGAATTTTCGCCTCAACTTGGCATCTGTGGGAGGTACCTTTCGCCTCAGGTCTTGGTACCACTTCCTGACCACGTATCCCCTCCAGCAGGCTTGGATCCTAGAACACAGATGTTTGAAATGACTCACTCGGAATGGCCTTAACAGGTATTTCAAAACAGGGTGAGGCCCTGGGGAGGCAGTGGCCAAGGAGGGAGGCAAAATCCCTCCTTCCTTTAAAATGAGTCAGCACCTGCGCTGCCACAGAGTGTCCGCGGGCGAGGGGACCCTTCCTACCTTGTCGCGCACTTTATTTTGAATAGCCGGGCTCCGTCGTGAATCACTCTGGTTTGATACTGGCTCTTTCTGCAGAGAGGGCAGGTTTTTTTATTTGCGAACTTTTCAAAAGCCTGGAGGCATGCCTGAAGAAAAACATTTCACTTAAAATTTTATAAGCAATTACTTATAAATAACATTTTTACTTCTAATGTAATTATAGTGTTCTTTTCTCTCTTAATTATGAGACGGTCCAATTTAGATTATAAAGGGAAGAAGTTTCATCAGTTAACACCTTCCTCATGAAACTTGTTCCAAAAATGAAATTTTACAAGAACCTGCAGGCAGATACATCATAAACTTGTGGAAACCGCTTGTGTCAAGGTAGATGGTCCCAGTGCAGAAGGCTACCGTGCAGTCAAGTCGTAGGAGGCCAGCTGTCACTCACTTTGATGAGCATTACTAACAGCACTGTGTTGTACAAACAGTTGTGTGGTTCTTTTGTCACATAAAATTCGTGATCTCCAAAACAGGATGAATTGTACCGTAGCCTCAAGTCAGATTTCTAACCAAGTGGTGATTATGGATAAAATGAGTGGTTCTTCTTAGGAGACTTTAAGTGAGTAAGAGCTATGAGGCTGACGCGCTGCGCACTTTGGGCGGGCGGGGGGACGTGGTCACTCACTCTGTGAAACACGTGTGAGCATGTGAGCAGCACCTGTGCACGGGAAGACAAAGAGGTTTGAAGTTTAAATTCGTGTCAGAAGAACAGCAGCATAAATGCGTTAATTAAAAGAAAATTCTGAATGCTTAAAAGGCTGTGTTGTTTCTTTGAAAAGTTAAAAAAGCAGATTAATAACCTTGATACTTCTAATGTTTAAGTTGAGCACAGCACATGTATATAATTCAACAAGAAAAACTAAGTTAACAACAATCTGAAACATCAAACACATGATGTTTGCTAGTAAGCCATTAAAATTAGCGTATATTTACAACTTGTGAAATAGCTTTATTTCCTGGGTAGATGAGAAAGGATGCAAGCTGGAGTGGGGAGGGGAGGGCCCAGCCCACACTGGGGATGTGGGGGAAGGAGGGGCAGGGGGTAGGGCTTTGTTCAACTGAGCTGCACTCCTCAATTGCTTGCATCACACTTATTAACTGCGACATGCGTAAATTGAAACAGAGAGTTTCAGAAATAAATGCTGGAGACATAGGAATCACCTTTTCTTTCTTAAATGTGGGGAAAGTATGCTCACAAGAAAATGTCACCTCTCGGTGACCCAAAGTCCCCACCACACAGTGATACTCTGGGCTGTAGGAAGAGGAGGAAGGTGGGTGGCTCTTCTGGAAGGAGAGCCAGGGGATGATAGCAGGACACTAGCACGAGGGAGCTACAAGCATGGAGGGAGCCTGGTGAGGGGCCAAGCTTCTCTCCAGTGTGTGGGACCAAGAGAAGGGAGGGCAGGCAGGACTCCCTGGGACGACTGAAGTCTCAGACACTTGGGCCACCTGATCTTGGTAACATTTTCCCATTTTTAATGTGACCCCCCCCCCCCCGCCCCACTCTACTCTTTCCTTCTTAAATAGGACAGACAAATGGAAGAAGTATTGCAATAAACAGAACTCACAAAGTTATAAAACCTTGACTTGAAACTTACTGCCAATAAGCCTAAACTGGAAAACCTCAGTAATATGGGTCCTTTTAAATTATCACCATTTAATCTAATAGCAGGCTTTTGTGTGCTCAAGTCCCCATTCTTTTTATTTCTTCAAATTTTTATTTAAATTCTATTTAGTGAACATACAGTGCAATGTTGGTTTCAGGAGTAGAATTCAGTGATTCATCACTTACATACAACACCCAGTGCTCATCACAAGAGCCCTCCTTAATACTCATCACTCATGTAGCCCATCCCCCACCCTCCTCCATCCAGCAACCCTCAGTGTGTTCTCTGTCTTGAACAGTCTCTTAATGGTTTGTTTCCCATTGTCTGTTCTAGTTCTGTAAAAAATGCTGGTGGTATTTTGATAGGGATTGCATTAAATGTGTAGATTGCTTTGGGTGGCACAGACATTTTATTTGTTCTTCCAATCCATGAGTATGCAATGCTTTCCTATTTCTTTGTGTCTTCCTCAATTTCTTTCATAAGTGTGCTATAGTTTTCAGAGTACAAATCATTTACCTTTTCGGTTAGGTTTATTCCTAGGTATCTTATGGTTTTTGGTGTAACTATAAATGGGATCAATTCCTTGATTTCTTTTCCTGTTGCTTCGGTATTGGTGTATAGAAATGCAATGATTTCTGTTTGTTGATTTCATATCCTGTGACTTTGCTGAATTCATGTATTAGTTCTAGCATTTTTTTTGGTGGAGTCTTTTGGGTTTTCTATATGGAGTATCATGTTGTGTCCAAATCCTTGATGATTTGGATGCCTTTTATTTCTTTTCATTATCTGATTGCTGAGGCTAAGACTTCCAGTACTGTGTTAAATAGCAGTGGTGAGAGTGAACATCCTTGTCTTATTCCTGACCGTAGAGGAAAAGCTCTCAATTTTCCCCATTGAGGATGATATTAGCTGTGGGTCTTTTGTTTATGACCTTTATGATGTTGAGGTATGTTCTATCTGTCCCTATTTTGTTGAGGGTTTTTATCAAGAATTGATGCTGTATTTTGTCAAATGCTCTTTCTGCATCTACTGAGAGTATCATATGGTTCCTATCCTTTCTTTTATTAATGTAGTGATCATGTTGAATGATTTGCCTATATAGAACCAGCCCTGAAGCCCAGGAATAAATACCACTTGATTGTGGTGGAATAATCCTTTTAATGTACTATTGGATCTGATTTGCTGGTATCTTGTTGAGAATTTTTGCATCCATGTTCATCAGGGATATTGGCCTGTAATTCTCCTTTTTTAGTGGGGTCTTTGATTTTAGAATCAAGGTAATGCTGGCCTCATAGAATGAGTTTGGAAGTTTTCCTTCCATTTCTATTTTTTGGAACAATTTGAGAAGAACAGGTATTAATTCCTCTTTAAATGTTTGGTAGAATTCCCCTGGGAAGCCATCTGGCCCTGGACTTTTGTTTGTTGGGAGATTTTTGACTATTGATTCAATTATTTGCTGGTTATGAGTCTGTTTAAATTTTCTGTTTCTTCCTGTTTCAGTTTTGGTAGTTTGTAGGTTTCTAGGGATTTGTTCGTTTCTTTCAGATTGCCCAGTTTTTTGGCATATAATTTTTCATAATATTCTCTTAGGATTATTTGTATTTCTGTGGTGTTGGTTGTGATCTCTCCTCTTTCACTCATGATTTTGTTTATTTGGGACCTTTCTCTTTCTTTTTGATAAATCTGGCTGGGTGGGGGTTAGTTTTATTAATTCTTTCAAAAACCAGCTCTTAGTTTCATTGACCTGCTGATTGTTTATTTCTAAATCATTTATTTCTGCTCTGATCTTTATTTTTTCCCTTCTTCTGCTGGTTATAGGCTTTATTTGCTGTTCCTTTTTTAGCTCCTTTAGGTGTAGGGTTAGGTTGTGTATTTGAGATTTTTCTTCTTTTTTTTTTTTTATTTAAATTTTACTTAGTTTACAGTGCTATATTCAGTGATTTATCATTACATACAACACCCAGTGCTCATCACAAAAAGTGCCCTCCTTAATACCCTTCATCCATCTATCCCATCCCCCTACTCACCTCCCTCCATCATCCCTCAGTTTGTTCTCTGTTGTTAAGAATCTCTTATGGTTTATTTCCCTCTCTCCCTTACTCCCCTTCCCATATGTTCATCTGTTTTCTTTCTTAAAGTCCACATATAAGTGAGATCATATGGTATTTGTCTTTCTCTGACTTACTCACTAGCATAATACATTCTAGCTCCATCCACGTCATTGTGAATGGCAAGATTTCATTCTTTTTGTTAACTGAGTAATATTCTGTGTGTGTGTGTGTGTGTGTGTGTGTACATTTTCTTTATCCATTCATCAGTTGATGGGCATTTGGGCTCTCTCCATCGTTTGGCTATTGTTGATAATGCTGCTATAAACATTGGGGTGCATGTACCCCTTCAAATCTGTATTTTTGTATCCTTCGGATAAATACCTAGTAGTGCAATTGTTGGGTCATAGGGTAGTTCTATTTTTAACTCTTCTGAGGAACCTCCATACTGTTTTCCAGAGTGGCTGCACCAGTTTGCATTCCCACCAACAGGGCAAGAGGGTTCCCCTTTCTCCACATCATCTCTAACACCTGTTGTTTCTTATGTTAATTTTAGCCAGTCTGACAGGTGTGAGGTGGTATCTCATTGTGGTTTTGATTTGTTTCCCTGATGCTGAGTGATGCGGAGCATTTTTTCATGTGTCTGTTGGCCATTTGTATGTCTTCTTTGGAGAAATGTCTGTTCATGTCTTCTGCCCATTTCTTGACTGGATTATTTGGTTTTTGGGTGTTAAGTTTGCTAAGTTCTTCATAGATTTTGGATACTTAACCCTTTATCCCATATATTGTTTGCAAATATCTTCTCCCATTCTGTAGGCTTTTAGTTTTGTTGATTTTTCCTTCACTGTGTAGAAAGAAGCTTTTTATCTTGATAAAGTGCCAATAATTCTTGCTTCTTGAGGTAGACCTGTATTGCAATATACCTCCCTCTTAGGACTGCCTTTGCTGTATCCAAAGGTTTTGGACTGTAGTGTTTTCATTTTCATTTGCTTCTATGTACTTTTTAAATTTCTTTAATTTCCTGGTTAATTCATTCATTCTTCAGTGGGATGTTCTTTAGCCTCCATGTATTTGTGGTCTTTCCAAATTTTTTCTTGTGGTTGACTTCAAGTTTCATAGTGTTGTGGTCTGAAAATATGCATGGTATGATCTCGATCTTTTTGTACTTGTTGAGGGCTGATTTGTGACCTAGTATGTGATCTATTCTGGAGAATGTTCCATGTGCACTTGAAAAGAATATGTATTCTGCTGCTTTATGATGAAATGTTCTGAATATATCTTTTAAGTCCATCTGATCTAGTGTGTCACTCAAAGCCATTGTTTCCTTGTGGTTTTTCTGCTTAGATGATCTGTCCCTTGCTGTAAGTGGGGTGTTAAAGTTGCCTACTATTATATTATTATCAATGAGTTTCTTTGTGTTTATTATTATTATTATTATTATTTTCGAGAGAGTGTGTACGAGTGGGGCAGAGAGGGGCAGAGGGAGAGGGAGAGAGAGAATCCTAAGCAGGTTTGGCGTGGAGCCTGACATGGGACTCGATCTCACGATCCTGAGATCATGACCTGAACTGAAATCAAGAGTCGGATGCCTAACCAACTGAGCCACGCAGGTGCCCCTCTTTATGTTTATTATTATCTGATTTATATATTTGGGTGCTCCTAAGTTGGGGGCATAAATATTTACCATTGTTAGATCTTGATGGGTAGACCCCTTAATTATGATATAATGCTCTTCTTCATCTCTTGTTATGGTCTTCGTTTTAAAATTTAGTTTGTCTGGGGTGGCTTAGTCAGTGAAACATCTGCCTTTGGTTCATGATCTCAGGGTCCTGGGATTGAGCCCCAAGTCAGGCTCCCTGCTCAGCAAGGAGTCTGCTTTTCCCTCTCCCCCTGGCCCCTCATCCCCTTGCTTGTGCACACACGCTCTCTCTGTCTCAAATAAATAAATAAGTGAATGAATGATTGAATGAATAAATAAATACATTACTTTGTCTGATATAAGTATGGCTACTCTGGTTTTCTTTTGATATCCATTAGCATGATAGATGATTCTCTATCCCCTCACTTTTAAACTGCAGGTCTAAAATGAGTCTCTTATAGGCAGCATATAGATGGATCTTGTTTTTTTTTATCCGTTCTGATACCCTGTAGCTTTTGATTGGAGTATTTAGTCCATTTACAATTCAGAGTGATTATTGAAAGATAGGAATTTATTGCCATTGTGTTACCTGTAGAGTTGGTGTTTCTGGTGACATTCTCTGGTCTTTTTTCCCCCCACTCAAAGAGTCCCCCTTAATATTTCTTGCAGGGCTGGTCAAGTGGTCACGAATTCCTTTAGTTTTTGTTCGGGAAATTCTTTGTCTCTCCTTCCATTTTGAATGAGAGCCTTGCTGGATAGAGTATCTTGGCTGCATATTTTTCCCATTCAGCATGTTGAGTATTTTTTTCCACTCCTTTCTGGCCTGCCAAGTTTCTGTGGACAGATGTGCTGCGAACCTGATCTGTTGTCCCTTACAGGTTAAGGACTTTTTCCCCCTTGCTGCCTTCAGGATTGTTTCCTTGTCTGTGTATTTTGTGATTTTGACTATGATATGCCTTGGTGATGGCCGGCTTTTGTTGAATTTGATGGGAGTTCTCTGTGCTTCTTGGATTTTGATGTCTGTGTCCTTCCCCAGATTAGGGAAGTTTTCATCTATAATTTGTTCAAATAAACCTTCTGCCCCTTTATCTCTCTTCATCGTTCTGGGTCTCCTATAATATGAATGTTTTTGCATTTTAATAAGTCTCTAAGTTCCTTAAGTCTACCCTGGTGATCCATTACCTTTCTTTTCAGCTTATTTTCCATAATTTTATCTCCTATATCACTGATTTGTTCCTCTACTTCATCCATCCTCATTTTATGGCATCCATTTGGGTTTACCTCTCAGTTATAGCATTTTACATTTCATCCTGACTAGATTTTAGTTCTTTCTCTCTGCAGTAAGGGATTCTCTAGAGTCTTCTATGCTTTTTTCAAGCCCAACTAGTATCCTTGTAATTGTTGTTTTAAATTAGAGTTTAGACATCTTACTTATATCTGTATTGAATAAATCCCTGGCCGTACTATCAACAATAGCCAAACTACGGGAAGAGCCCAAAATATCCATTGACTGATGAATGGATAAAGAAGATGTGGTATATATACACGAAGGAATATTACTCAGCCATCAAAAAGAATGAAGTCTTGCCATTCGCCATGACATGGATGGAGTTAGAATGTATTACACAAAGTGAAAAAAGTCAGAGAAAGACAAATACCATATGATTTCACTCATATGTGGAATTTAAGAAACAATACAGGTGAACATATGGGAGGGGGAAGGATAAAAAGAGAGAGGGAAACAAACCACAAGAGACTTTTAAAGATAGAGCACAAAGTGAGGGTTGATGGAGGGATGTGGGTGGGGGATGGGCTAAATGGGTGATGGGCATTAAGGGGGGCTCTTGTCATACTGAACACTGGGTGTTATATGTAAGTGATGAATCACTGAATTCTACTCCTGAAACCAGTATTTCACTGTATGTTAACTAACCAGAATTTAAATAAAAATTCGAAGAAAAAAATCACTGGCCATCAGTTCTACCTCCTGTTCTTTCTTTTGGGGCGAATTCCTCCATCTTACCATTTTGTGCAGAAAAAAAGAAAAACACAACTAGATCCTGCGTGTGTTTGGGTCTACTTGTTAAAAGAAGCTAGACCTAAGAAAAAAGAAAATCTATCTATATATAAAATATATACATAAAAATTAAAAAGATAATAAAGAATCGAAAAATAAGAGAAAAAATAAAAAGGAAGCTAAATCCTATTTTCCTTAGAGCTTTAGTAAGCTTTGCAGCCCGCTGTGGTCAGTAGACTTGCTCCCTGCGAGATGTTTGCGCGGGCCTTCTGGGCGAGGGGCTTGTCGCGCTCTTCTCAGGGGGAAGGCGCCCGTGGAAAGGCACCCGCGGGGCGCCGGGGCCGGGGCTTCACGTACGCAGCGCTGGTCGCCACCGGGTGGCGCGGTCTTGCTCCCTGGGTGGGACGCACACGGGGCGCCCTGCTCTCTAGCCCCGGAGCTTGCAGTTCCTGGCTCCCCCCCACTCCTCGGGGAGCCTCACAGAAGGGCCGTCAGTCGCCCCTCCTGTGTTCCCTGCTCCCCTCAGATCCCTGCCTTCGCCCCGCCTGGGTCTGAGCTTTTTTATCCCAGGCGGACTGGGTTTTACAGCTCCGCAAATTTTAGGGACCCACACTGTTCCTCGGGGGAGGGCCCCGCTTGCTTTTGCCGTTTGCCTGGACCACGGAGCCGTGCGGAGTCAGAGAGCTGGCGCCCAGGCGCCGCGCCGGCGGGCGAGCCCAGCGCCTGCGCCTGGAAGGGCGAAGCGCGTCGACGCCCCCGTTCCTCTTGCACCCAGGCCTGATCTCGGACGGCCCTCTCCAGCCCTGGGCCCGCCCTGCTCACCACCGAGCACGTTCCAGCCAGGCGTGACCCCGGCGGCGGCAGACTCCCAAAACTCGGGATTTTGCGCTCTGCTGTGCGGAATGCCTTGCCGTAGCCTCGTGAACAGGGCTCCCTCCCCGCCGCAGGACCCACAGTTGTCTCTCCCAGACCAACCCTCTGCACCTCCTACCCTCCAAAAGGCGGTTGCCCTTCTGCCTACAGACTTGTGGTTTTGTTCCCTCAGTCCTCACATTAATTTCTTGGGTGTTCGGAATGATTTGATAATTATCTAGCTGTGTTGGAGGGACAGGGTAATCTTAGGGTCCCCTCCTCTTCCTCCATCTTAACCCCTCATGCATTATAGAATACTCTTTGAATGTTTTATCAACAGATACTTGATGATCTGTATTGAATAACACTGCCCTTCCATATATTTAAAATATTATACTTTTAAATGTCCATAAATGTTTGTTATTGGAAAGCATTCTCTGAGATAAAAATAAATGATTAAGTGGTGGTAAATACACTAAAAATGTCCTAGAAGTTGGGATTAGACTCCAGCTGACCTTGAGAACACTTCCTGAGTCATCCTGCTGCGGATCAACTGATTTATTTCCTCATCTGTTAAATGGGTATAATGCGTCCGTCAGCGATGCACAAGAATAACGGAAGTCCTCTGAAATAATTAAATGCTGGGGAAATGCCAACTACTGTGTTTAACGAAGGAAAAACCTAAACACGAGGACAGTAACTAAAAATGCAAAATAAACACAAGCATCTATATCTATTAACCAAACAAAAATAAGAATTTAGTGAGAAATTTATAAAAAACAGAAGGGAAGAAATGGTGGGCATGATGCATCCTGATTCCCCTGCTGCCCCACTTAAGATAGTCAGTGTAAGTTTTCATTCTTCATACAACAGGCTAAATATTTATAGCATAATTAAAGAAGAGGTTGCTGGGGCCAGAAAGACTCCTTGTGGTTCTATTAACTCTTGCTACACTAAAATACTAAATTATCCTAGGTGATAATTCTGTGGTTTAAGGGCTAAATTTTTTCTAAGATACCCAGCTTTCATATGCATAAGATTAGGTCTTGATAGAGAACTGGAATACAATAAGTGTGTTTAAAATAACTTGTGAATTCAAATTAGTGAAGAACAAACGTTTTATGACTGTGAACTAACTTGTTAATGATGAAACTCATTAAAACAAATTAAGTTTGAGAGTTAAGTGCCAGGTAGCAAGTAAAGCCCGAGGTTCCCAGGCTATGAATTTTAGGCCTGCTTTGACTCTATTTGCTGTATTTTTCCAGCAAATGTCCAAGTGCTTGCTCTGTAGGAAGCACAATGCTGCACACGTGGGAAACTGTTGTACAGTGGCCACTAGCTTAGAACAAAACGCAAAATTCTAGCGGTGGAAGCATCCCTAACCGCCACAAGATTACAGTAGATTAGACATAGTACAGAAAAACCTATGACCCAGATTGACTGCATGTCATCAACCTTATGTGATAAAGTTTCATGATTAAAGATTATTAAAAGATTTTACTTAAGGATTCTTATATAAATTCTTTGGAGATATTCAACCCTAGTTTTTCTTTTCTTTTATGATTTCAATTCATAAAACACTTAAAATTTCCATTTGCTTTCATTCTTCCTGCACTGGGCTCCTCCTAGCAGGTCTCCAGTCACTCCTCAGCTATTTCCAGCCAGTGGAATGGGAGCATTCCTTTTGTATGAACTTTGTACTTGAGAATATCATTCAGTAAATAAACAAAACTGTTTAATGAGGGTGTTTAGCTCTTTCTCACACACACACTTTAATTAATGGAAAAGAAACTATAAAAGTATTTGAGGTCACATAGGCGGAAGAAACTAGAAAAACAAAGCCTGGGATCTTAGGCCCCAGCTCGGTCTAGTCCCCAAGCCTGCTTATCTGATCTTCAGGCTACACACCTGGGGGCGAAGTTCAAATTCTTCTTTGCATATTGGGCATGGCTGCACAGAGTCCCCTTGCAGGACGGATCTTTGTTTCACATTTTCCCATTCATCTGAGGATAGTGGTGGTGGGGGAGGTTCAAACAAGCCCAGCTTCTGTGCTAAAGTTAAAACAATATGAAATAGAAGTTGCAATATATTTAGGATATAGTACTCATATATAGTTTAATGACATTATTTTGTAAACAAATTTGAAAGCAAAACATACCACGTACTTCCACCATATGTGGAATACTGCTCTTCCATGGTGCATAGAAGTCAATGGTAATAATACCTTCCATTTGTGTTTTATGCTTTTATTTATGAAGAATTGCCTTCCCCTATTTCATGTTCACGATATTCTCTATAGTAGGCAGGACTGCTATCCAATTTTCAGGAAGAAAAGTTGAAGAATACTAGGTTTTCACATGTATTGGCCAAAGGTTCTTACTTTTCACCTAATTTATCTTTCAGTCTTCAGTGTTGTCTTCTTCCAGTTTAGCTCTTTTTCTTTCTTTCTTTCTTTTTTTTTTTTTTTGCCACCAGTGACCTTCGCAGAACGCGTATCAATCAGGTTCTTCCCTTGCTAAAAATTCTTAGGACTTATAATTATCATCAGGATCAATTCCTTACCTCAGCAATATTTGAGAGCCCACCATGTGTCCCTGGGGATCAAACATGGAGCTCACGTCCCTGTGGGAGCTGCTGCAGCTGGGGCACAGTGCTGGCAGGGGCTTGAGCACCAGGGTCCACCCCCATACCACCTCCAAATGAGGGAATGGGTAAAGTGCCACTCTGTGGGCTTTCTTTGGATAGAAAGTGAAGTGTTACGTGTACAAAACAAGAACAGGAAGCTGTACCAGGAACATTAAAAAAAAAAAGAGTACAAAAAAGAGCTCTTAAAAATCAAAAATCTTATAGTAGAAATGTGAAAGTCAACTCAAAGACTGGAAGAGGAAGTTACAGTAATCCCATAGAAAGTAGGAAGATGAGATAAAGCAGGAGACTGAAGATAAGAAAACTAAAGGACCAGTCTAGGAGGCCTGACATCTGAAAGACAGACATTCCATAAAGAAAACAGAAAATCAAGAGTAAAGATCTTAAAATAGCCTAAAACATTTCCTAGAAGAGGATGTGAGTTTCTAGTTTGAGAGGCCCCAGGAGGGCCCAGAACAAAGGATTCACACCCAAATCCCGCCACTATGAGACGTCACAGGTGTAGGCACAAAAAGCAGATCTCAAAGTTTTGTGAGAGAGACAGAAAGAGAGACAAGTCTCAAAAAGGGTCAGGAGTCAGAAATACATCAGACTTACCTCCAACAACACAGACATGAGAAGGCAAACCTTTCAAAATTCTGAGGAAGACTCCCATATGGAAATTCTTCATTAGCAAACAACGGACCATAAGAGAATAAAGACATCTTTGTGTCTCTAAGCTTGTACATTGGTCTCTTGTGCACTCTTTCCCCGGAAGCTGCTGGAGGAGCAACTTCACCCCAGTGAGGGTATACACTAAGAAGGAGAAGCTGTGCCATCAGAGAGAGGGTCCAGTGCAAGAGAACCAAAGGGAATCGGCCCACAGGTGATGCCGAGAAGACATCCCAGGCTGACGGCTCTGCACCAGCCCCACAGAAGAACTGGTGCATATGGGAGCAGAGTAATGGAAGGTTTCAGAAGGAATGTCTCCACAAAGATAAAATCAGAAGATCACCACTGTATTTTAGTGGATGGAAAGAATATACTTCTGAGATTTGGGGGTATGAATTTTGGGTCTTTTCCTGCCAGTTATTAAGACATATTACAAAACTATTTTGAATTAAAACAGTAAAATCCTGACATAGTAACAGATCATACCCCAAATCATACATCCTGACTCTCTCTTTCTCCCTCTCTTGTATGAGCATGGAAAACTTGGCAAAGGCAAAAGATAGGTAGATAGTGGTTTGACGGAAGAATCTAATGTAAGTTTTTATATCAACTGATTTTGCCAATGCTGTATGCAAATTTAGATGAGGTCTAAATGTGAAAGGCAAAAATGTAAAGGTAAATAAAGAAAATGTGGGAAAATCTTTGTGATCTTAGAATGGCTAAGGATTTCTTAAATCACCCAAAGCATAAACAATAAAGAGAAAAACTGATGGATTTAACAGTAATCAGAATGAACATTTTATTCAATATAAAATAACATAAAATTAAAAGATGGTGCCAGACTGAGAAATCTTCTCAGTGGCTACATCAATTAATATGTAGAGTACATAAAAAACTCGAGAAAATCAGCAAGAAGAGACCCAAGTGCAATATGATGTATAGATAATAATGAAGAGCATATGGTTCAACACATATTGGTAACTAATATATATAATAGTAAAAAATTTCTTTTTTATAAAGAGCTACCGGAAGAATAATTCATTTACTCTCCTTTTTAACCCTACTTATTTTCCAAATTGGGAAGTCCTTCCTGATGTCTAATTTAAACCTTTCCTGCTAAACTTACTATGATGATCTAGTTGATCATCTCCATAAATTATATATGTACAAGATATTCACTACCTGACTGTATAACATCATTCCAAGCCTCTGCATATTCTTGAGCTGTGCCATTTCCTAGAATACAAGTATCACTGTCTGCAGTAATGAAGTAATGAGTGTCCCCTGGCCTTTCTGTAGCAGCAGGCTCCCCCTGTACCGTGCAGCTGAGTCCGCAGGCTTCCCCGCGCCTCCTCCATCCAGCACACTTGCGCGAGGGCACAACGCCCCCAGACAAACCTAGTTTCCATGCCCAGCATCATTTAAAAATCTTTTCTATTTCTAAATTTACAGTTTAAAATAATGTGGGACTTGCAAAAGGTTGTAAAGCCAGTATAAAGAATCCTCATGTGCCTTTTACCCAGTTTTCCCAAATGTTAATTTTTTCATAACCCTAGTTCAATGATCAAAGCGAGAAATTAACGTTGATCGAACACTGCCAATTAATCTGTATTCCTTACTGGGTTTCGTTCTTGTGTCACTGAAGTCCTTTTTTTGGACCAGTTACACTTAACACTCAGTTGTCATGTCCCCTTCGTGTCTTATTATCTGGGACAGCTTCTCTCTCTTCATTTGCTTTTCTTGACACTTTTGAAAAGTACTGGCCAGGAAGTGTGTAGACTGTCCGTCAATTTGGGTGGGTCTGATGTTTCCTCGTGATTAAATTCAGAGATGCATTTTGGCAAGAATACCCTGGAGGGGATGCTGCGCCTTTCTCAGAGCATGGGATGGGGGCCATGTCGGCGTGTACCCCTTTGGTGATGGCACTGGGGTCGCGTGGTCAGGGTGCTGCTGGCCCAGTGTCATCAACAGGGGGCGGCTGGGCTTCCTGCTTCCCTCTGTGGTGTGTGGGCACGCTGTGAGGCCGTGTCCACACCGTGCGTCTCAGCATCCACCGATGCTTGTTCTTACTGTGCTGTTGGCCGTATGGTGATTTTCTATTTCTGGCCCCTGTCTATATATTTATTAGTTGTCATTCTACTGTAAGAAAGAGCTTTTTCTTTTCCATTACTGACTGACTGGTTGATTTCCGCCCATGTGGATTAGTGGATATTGATTGTATTCTACTATTTTTATTTATTCTATGTAGTACTATCTTTGTTTTCTTGCTCGTATTATCCTCATCATCATTTTTAAACTTTAGTACATACATTCTTTCTGTAAGATTATAAATTAGAATCATTTCTGGTCCAGAAAAAATTATACTATGAATCTCAATTAGATTCCTTAGCTCTAATAAGCCAAAAAATGAATGACAAGATTAACTTACCTAAAGTTAATGGTGGTGGTTTTGGATCAAGAACATATTCTTTTTCTGGATCTTCCACTTTAGGGCCTTGTATAGTTTTTTTAAGTCCAGTATCTATTACTGCTTTTGTATTTCTTTTTAGAGATTTGGATCTGTTCTCTTTCTTTTGTACCTTTGTCTTAGAATGATCTGCTATTGAAAGATTTCGAAGTTGAAGATCATGTAAAATGTGATCTTGTAAAGCAACTGCAGTGACTGCTAAGTTATCTTTTTTAGATGAATGACCCTAAAAAGTAGGAAAAAAACCTTATCTATGGAACATTATGTAATGTATCATTTGGAAGAAAACTTAGGCTTTAATACTCAATCCGGGTGGCATACTAGATCAAATCTAATAGTGAAGAATGCTTGGCCCACGTTACATAAGTGCGGGAAAGCCCAGTCTCATCATTTATGCTGGTGACATAGTACTATCTTTTCATTTAATTACTGAGGTCTTAAATATAATATGAATTAATTCATTATGACCTATAAAAGCTGTGCATGCCTGAACACATTCTGTTTCACTACAATTAAATTAGACTCTAGGCAAAATCTTGCTTCTGTAATATGAAAGGGAATCTTGCATTTAAGTATGTGCTTTTTTGGAGAAAACAACGCGGACCAAAACTGCTGGGCACGTATGACGTGCTTGCAGTCGGTACTGTGGCAGATAGTTCCTCATTGGAGCGAGATGTGCAACCATATTTTTATGCTTTCAAACAGCTGGATTAAATTATAGTCATGAGTAAAACAGTGTTTTATTTTTAAAAAATCTTAAATTTAAATTCAATTAATTAGCACATAATGTATTATTAGTTTCAGAGGCAGAGGTCAGTGATTCATCAGTCTTATAGAATACCCAGTGCTCGTTACATCATGTGCCTCCTTAATGTCCATCACCCAGTTACCCTACCCCCCTCCCCACCAGCAAACCTGTTTATTTATTACGATTAAGAGTCTCTTACGGTTTGTCTCCCTCTCTGATTTCGTCTTGTTTTATTTTTCCATCCCTTCCCCTTTGATCCTGTTTTGTTTCTTAAATTCCATATATGAGTGAAATCATATGATAACTGACTTTCTCTGATTGACTCATTTCGCTTAGCATAATCCCCTCCAGTTCCATCCACGTCATTGCAGATGGCAAGATTTCATTTAAAACTGTATTTGTTTTAAAACAAGATTCTGTACCTTGTTTTTTGACATGCTGAGTCAGGCAAACTTGCTACTTGGGTATATCAAGTTATATCATCATATCACATTCCTTTAATTCTTCCACTGTAAAAACATAATCAACAGAAAGTCAAAGTTAGAGTGTATGTAAACATCTCTTATAAAGTCTAGAGGGAAGGTATGTTTGAGAGTCTGATATGGGAATGCCTGCCAGAGCACAGCACTAAGCTACGCACTGTGATTCTGGCGGGATTCAAGCCAGTCATGACTGATGGGGCCCTGCCCTCAAATCTCCAGCTGGCTGGAGGGAGCATATGAATTTGAATGAGAACAGTCCATCACTCAATATAATATTATACATAAGTACAACAAAATTTGAGACTGAAAAGATCAGAGAATAGTAAGTGAAATACCTCTTTTTTTTTTTTTTAAGGTTTTATTTATTTGAGAGAGAGAGCGTGCACAGAGGGAGAGAGAAGCAGACTCCTTGCTGAGCAAGGAGCCCAATGCAAGACTCCATCCCAGGACCCTGAGATCATGACCTGAGTCGAAGGCAGACGCTGAACCGACTGAGCCACCCGGGCAGACCAGTAAGTGAAATACCTCTTAAAGAGAGAACATTTAAACCGGGATTTGCAGGACAGAGAAGAGGGAAGTGAACAAACCACACTACAGTTACCAGAGGACAAAGGCACTCAGGAACTCGGCATACGGTTATTATTTAGGAGGGAAGGGGAGCAATGAATATACTGGGATGCACGGGGCGTACTGGCTGCCTGCAGTCTGTCCAGAACATAGAGGGACAGAATGTCAGGGGCAAGCCTGGCTTCCAGTCTTGGTCCAGCTATGTGCTGGGCGACATGCTGTCTGACTTCCAGCTGCCTCACCTTGAAACAGGTGTAATTACGTTCCTTGCAGGGTTACGTTTATGAGATCACCTTTGTAAAGTATCCGAATGGGCCCTTTCATGCAGAAGATACTCTGTAAATGGTTATTTTGCTTCACTTCCATTTGAAACTGGTGGAAGAATCTGAATTGATCCTTCCAGTTTTTAGGCAAGGGCACAGTTTCTGAAGACAGGGTCCAAAATACACAGAATGGGGAGAAACGGTAAGTTATTAATCTAGGAAACGGGGCCTAATTTTAAGACTAGAAAGGAATTAATCCACAATATGTATCTAAGGATCAACACCTGCCTTGAACTAGTGCTGGAAGGTGGAAGTGGGGATGTGGAAACAGCTGTGAGGTCTCCAGGGCTCCGTGACGGCGAAGCTGCTTTGGGAAACTAGATGTAGTGCTTGCTTCCACTTCTGGCCCAAGGTGCACGAAAGAAGCTCCTGTCCAGTGTGTCGTCAGGACCGTGTAGACTGCAGAAACGGGCCAAGGTATTTAAAATGCCGAAGATCCCTTCCAGAACCTTCTACCTTCAGAACGCCTATCCCCTGGCAGAACAGAGCTTACATCACGCTGAACACGCCTTACGGCCTGCAGTTCTCCCTGGCGTGTCTCCCTGCGGGCTTTCGAAGACGCGGCCCCTTCTGCGTCCCACAGCGTCTTTACGGTTCAGCGCTGGGCCCCAGGTCCAGAGCTTGACGCCTTCACGGCACGTAACTGGTCTGCAGCAGTGGCGGGTCCGACGAGCCAACGGCAGCGGGACGTCCCTGCTTGCTTAACTGCGCCACCACCAGCTGGTGGCAAGGCTGACCAGCCCGGCGGCCGCCCCGTCGCAGTGGCCGTGCGCTAACGAGGGGCGCGCACGGCGCGGCGGGCCCGCGGCCGGCTGTCGCGGCTCCCGGCTCCCTGTCGGGACGTGCGGACGAGCGGGCCCCGAGCGGGCAGCGCTCCCGGGGTCCGACGCGTCCCGACACCCCTACCTTCGGGCGCGGCTCCCTTCCGGGGACGCGTGGCGTCCCCGCGCCCAGACACCGTCCCCACTCGGGGCCCTCCCGAGAGCGGTCACGATGAAGCCCGCCGAGCCGGGGACCGACGACCCGGGCCGCCCGGCGGGGTCCCCGCGGCCCCTCCCGCCCCGCTCGCTCAGGCTCCCCTGGGCCCGGCCCCGGCCCCCAAGCCCCGGCCTCCGCGCCGCCCGCCGTGGCGCAGCCGCCCGGCGCGCATGCCCAACGGCCCGGCCCCGCCCCGCGCGAGGCGCCAGGCTCGGGGCCATACCGCGCATGCCCGGCGGCTCTGCCCGGCGCGCTCGGCGGACCTGTCCGTCGCCGGCTCGGCGCGTCCACCGCGCGCACGCTCGCCGGCCCCGCCCCGCGCACGCCCGGCGCGCGCACGCTCGCCACGTGCTCGTCGGCGCCCTGGCTGGACGGACGCCCCTGGGCTGTGGGCGCCCGGGGTTTGGGCGCGTTGGACGCGCTCCCAGCCGTGTTGGCTCAGATGTCAGTCCCGTGCGCCCGTTGCACGTGTCGGTGCCTGAGGCGTGCGCACCTGTCGCTCGGCGACGCCCGGTCCGTTCCTGGCTCGTGTCGCTCCGCCCTCGCGTGGCCCTCCGGCGCCCGCCCTGCGGGGCGGCCCCTGCCCGCAGGTGCGCTGCCGCAGCCGCTGTCGTTTCGGGTTGCTCCCCCGCGCTCTTCGTGCTCTCCTGCCTCCCTGGGTGCCGGGCCCTTTTGGATGAGATGCCAGTCGCGAGTTTCATATTCCCGGGTGCTGGATTTTTCATGCTCCTCGGAGTGACTTTGAGCCTCGGGGGGGGGGGGGCTCGACCTTCTCGAGCGCCACGGGGCCCCGCGACCCGAGCGGACTGTTGGGCCCTTGCAGGGGAGCTCGCGTGAGCTCCGACAGGCGCTCTGTGCCCCACACGCCGCGGCCCGCACACCGGCGCGGCCGAGACCCCGGCCTTCCTCCGGGGCCTCGCCGCTGCCCTGGGGGCCTCCGGCCGTTCCTAACCAACTGAGCCACCCAGGCGCCCCTCCTACTTTTTTTTTAAGATTTTGTTTATTTATTTGGGGGAGAGAATGAGATGCCTCCTGCAGTTCTTAGTTCTGCCTGCAGATCCACTGTTGGCCCTGTTCTGCTTGTGGCCCGGAAACTCCGGGCTCACTTGGCTTCCCTTTGCTTAAGGATGAGAGTCACGTGTCCCAGAACCATTGTCGCATACGTTTTGTCTGATCTCTTGGTTGGTTGAGGTAAGAGCTTAAATCTGGTTCCGAAAGCTCCGTCATGGCCGGAAGCAGAGATCAGAAGTTCCTCTTTTTGTTTTAAATGACGGGGACTCAATTGTGTTAAACTTTGGACTTTTATTGAAATGAAGTTCAGCTGAAAGTATGTAGAAAACGTACAAAATGCAAACAGTCCCTTCCTTTTTTTTTTTTACTTCTCTGAAAGCAGGTCTAAAGAAGTTACCAACTAAACTGATCAGAAACTGGTCATTGGTCACTAAAAGACCTAGAAGTTACAATGTTTGGCATGGCTTCGGAATAAAGAGTATTCTACTGTGAAACAAGGTAATTTGAAGCTCCACTTCAAATAATTATTTTCTTAGTAGAATTCAATTTTCTAGGCGGCCGCTCCTGTTTGGAAGTTTTTAAAAAAACACTAAAAACAAGCTAATTTTTTTTGATCAGCCAAATTAAATTCATAATTAAGTTAATTTTAAGTTATTTAAGCTTTTCCAACAAATACTGTAATCTTGATTTATGTTTCAGTGGTGATGGGTCTAGAGCACAAGTAGGGGTCTCTCTGTGATGCTGAGTTTTGTATTCCGTGACTGAGTGTTAGGACGGTGCGGAGGGCAGGGTGGGGAAGCTTTGGGTTTAGATAGGTGGACCCGAGTTCAGACCTAGACTGACTTTTTAGGGGTCTGGATTTGGCAAGTTACTTCGTTTTCTGAAACTATGGGTCCCTTCTACACAAGGGGGACATTTGCTACTTCTCTGGTCAGCATCTGCCAGCACTTCAGCAACAGCCCTGGGGATTCGTCAGTCCCAGGATGGAACATATGACCAGCCTGAGCTAGTCAGAGAATCAGTGTCCTGGCCACAGTGACGTAGCTGGCATGGGTCTATGACCTAGCTGGGCCAGTCAGGTGGACTCAGTATTTTTGTGGGAGCAACTGGAAAATTCTTTTAATTCTTCCTACTGATGTAGAAACAAGAGGAGACATGAAACTGCAGCTGGGACAGCTCTCGTGTCACCCATACGTGAAAGCAGGCGCTGGGGGGCCATCCCATGAACCAAGAGGATCACACAGGAAGCCACACAGACTGAGACGGGGTCCAAGCCCTGGCAACATAGGTGACGCCGCGAAGCCAGCCCTCCTCAGTGATTTTACTTACCTGAGTGAATAGGTTTCCTGTATGCTTCAGCCAGCTTGGGTCTGGTGTTCTGTTACTTGTAGCAGGAATCATTTGGACGATAAGCGGGTGTACTGTTAAGCACCCTAATCGTGTGGTTAGATTAGAAACCGTCTCACGTGATGTAGTGCTTAGTATGGTGCCTGCTACTCTCCGTATCCGTTTTAAGGTATCTTTCCTGAACTCCATGAAGTTCTAAGAAAAATCCCCATTAAAAACTGCCCCCCTCCATCCGAGTGTTTAAAATACCACAACAGTTTTACTACCGGCATGTTTTCTACCCAAAAGAACTTGGTCTTTCTTGTTAGCTACACAGAATATTTCTCTGCAGGCTTTTGCGTGGAAATTTAACCTTGTAATTATGACCTTGTAATTCTTGACAAAATCATAGCTGACGTGGTTGGTGTTTAAAGAAGATGCCCATCGGCGTAGTCTCCGCTAGACACCTACATGGATCAGAATGGTTCTATTGGTTCAACATCCTCCTCTCCTATTTAATATCTGAGTGCTCTCACATTTCTTCTTTGTAATCCACAAAATACTCTTAATCCTGTCTGATGCATATTCTATTCCTGCCTCTTAACCCAGTCCTTGACACTGAAAATAAATGTAAGGAGCAGAAGTCCACGGCACAGAGTCCATCTTCTTCCTTAATATAGCCTTCAAGTTTAATTGTCACTGCAAACACACTTCCTTCAATTTATTTCTTAGTCTTTGGTATTGTCTTTAATTTTCTACCAACACTTCTAGATTTATTACTGATTTCTGTTCATAAACTTTCTTCCATCCCAGTGCTTCCTTCCCCCCCCCCCCCTCAAATAACTCAAGTTCTTTTCTGTATTTTGTGACACATGAGGTCTAGCAATTTGGGGGGAATCTGCCATCTTTCCTCATCCCACAGCAGTGGTCACTGTAGAGACTCAGGCATTCTGGTAAGAGTTCCTAAAATATTTTCTTTCCTAGAGATTATACTAGATTTTGTTTCATTTTTAATAAAGAAAGAAAAAGAGCTTAGGATGAGTTATTTTACCTCCTGTGGCAAAATGCATACATATGTTTTTTTTTTTTAATATGTAACAAAAGGTATGATGATACATTATTCCTGTTCACATTACAATAGTGGTAAAGTAACACTGATGAAAATATCTTGTGCACCGGAGAAATGAGGAGGAATCATCTTATTTCAGTTCTTGGTCTATAAAGTCATGGGTATAACAAAGGAGCTCTGTTAAAAACTTGTTTTCTGAATAGAAAATGAGCAAATTCATTCTTTATTGTTGAATCCAGTGTAGCTAGAAACAATTTATCACTTTGGTAAAGAACAGTGTCCTGTTATGATCTAAAAACTGACATGATAAAGATATTCATGCTAAAAATGCTGAGATCACCATGTACCAGACACTTAAAAAATCTTGTCAAAAGCAATTAGTACATATTCATTGTATCAAAGGAGTTTGATTGGGTAATGTGAACCCATTTCAGACATTTGTGATTTTTCTGACCTAACTGAAAGTTCTAGGAGGTGTGTAAAAGCAGTACAAATGCAGGTTACTAGCACAGTCTCTATAATAACCCGGAACATCAGTGCACGCTGGTTGCCAAACACTGCAGCTAAAGCACAGTTTCTCTAAACTTGAATTGGTTTATGCACTGGTATGTTTCATAGAGAGGGAGCTGTTTCCTGATTAAATCAAGGTAAATTTTTTTAATTGATAGTTTTTATTTAAAAACATTCACTGGCAAATTAAGCAGATAGTACAGAGAATTCCCAATCCATAAGGTCAACATTTCCCTAATACCACAACCAGATAAAGATATAAGATTACAAACCAATATCCTCATGAACATAGATCCAAATTCCTTAATAAAATATTGCAAATAGAATTCAACAATGTATAAAAAGAATTATGTACGTGACCAAGTGGGACTTATCCTAGATATACAAGACTTATTTAACATTCAGAAATCAATTAATGTAACCCATAACATCAACAGGCTAAGGAAGAAAGTTCACATGACCATATCAATAGATGCAGAAAAGTATTTGAGAAAATTCAATACTCATTCTCAATAAAAACTCTCAGCACATAAGAAATAGAGGGGGAACTCCTTCAACTTAGAATACTACAAAAACACTACAGTTTACATCATGCTTAATGGTGAAGCTCTAGATGCTTTACCCCTCTGGCAAGGCAAGAATGTCCGTTTTCACCACCTATTCAACCTCATATCAAAAGTCCTAGCTAATGCAATATGACAAGAAAAGGAAATAAAAGTATGTACTAAAAAGATTGGGAAGGAAGAAATAAAGCAATCTTTGTTGACAGATAACACGATTATGTAGAAAATCCCAAAGAATTGGCAAAAAACCCACAAAAACACTTAGAACTAATAAACAATTATAGCAACGTTCCAGGATACAAAAGCCAACCACTTTCCTATAGATCAGCAATGATCAAGTGGGATTTGGAATTAAAAGCAGAATACCATTTATATAAGCACCAAAAAATAAAATACTTAGGTATAACTCTAATAAAATACGTACAAGATCTGTATGAGGAAAACCACAAAGCTGATGGGAGAAATCAAAGAGGATCTAAGTAAATGAAGAGATGTTCCATGTCCCTGAAGAGGAAGACTCACACTCCCTGTGTGTAAGATGGTGGTTCTTCCCAGCTTTATCTATGGGTTCAGCACAACCAGCAAGTTATTTTATGGAGATTATCAAACTGATTCTATAGTTTATTTGTCCTTTGTTTCTTAAAAAAAAAAAAATCTTCCCCTCTTTTCCTGCCTTCTGTGATTTTAACTGAGCAGTTATATGATTTAATTTTCTCTTCTTTCTTAGTATATCAGTTATACTTTTTTAATTTTTATTTTTAAAAAATATTTTATTTTTAAGCGATCTTTACACCCAACATGGGGCTTGAACTCAACAACCCCAGGTTCAAGAGTTGCATACTCTACCGACTGAGCCAGCCAGGTACCCCAATTATACTTCTTTTAAAAATTATTTTAGTGATTGAGAGTTTACCATATACATTTACAACTAACCTGGATCCAATTTCAAATAACACAGTACTACTTCGTGGGTAGTGCGGGGACCTTATAAAAATATTCCTGGGGAGGGGGGTGGGGGGATGGGTTAGCCTGGTGATGGGTATTAAAGAGGGCATGTACTGCATGGGGCACTGGGTGTTATACGCAAACAATGAATCATGGAACACTACATCAAAAACTAATGATGTAATGTATTAACATAACATAATAAAAAATATTCCTAATCTCTGCCTCCCATCCCTTATAATATTGCTGTCATTCGTTTCACTTATCCATAAGCCTTAATCACTCAATATATTGCTTCTTTTTATTATATTGAACAAGAATTTCATTCATTTAGCATGTTTCAAGGTCCATCCATGTTGTGTGTATCGGTACCTCAGTCTTTTTACAGCTGAATAATGTTCTGTTGTATGCATATCCCACAGTTTGTTTGCGCATTCATCTGCTGATAGACATTTGTGTATATACCTGGGAGTGAAATTGCCGGGTCATATGGTAATTCTATGTGAACGGCCAAACTGTTTTTTTAGTGTTTGCACCATTTTATGTTCCCTCCAGCAATGTATGAGGGTTCCAGTTTCTTCACATCCTCTCCAATATTGGTGTTTTCCAGTTTTTTGTTTTTTTTTTTTCATTATAGCCATCCTACTAGAGTGGTTTTGATTTGCATTTCCCTGATGATTAATGATGTTGAGCATCTTTCAATGTGGTTTTTGACCATTTGTATATCTTCTTTGGAGAGATGTTTATTCAAGTCCTTTGTCCATTTTTTAATTGGCTTATTGGTCTTTTTGTTGTTGAGTTTTAGGAGTTCTTTGTATATTCTGGATATAGAACCTTTATCATATATGTGATTTTGCAAATATTTTCTCTCATTCTGTGGGATGTCTTTTCACTCTCTTGATAGTCTTCTTTGATCCACAAAAGTTTTTAATTTCAGTGGTGTCCAATTTATCTGTTTTCCTTTGTTGCCTATGTTCTTGGTGTCATGTCTGGGAAATCATTGCCAAATCCAGTGTCATGAAGATTTTCCCCTATGTTTTCTTCTACAAGTCTTATAGTTTTAGCTCTTACAATTAAGTCTTTGATCCATTTGAAGTTAATTTTTGTATATGGTGTAAGGCAAGGGTCCAACTTAATTCATTTGTGGATACCTATTTTTCCCAGCACCATTTTTTGAAGACTGTTCCTTCCCCATTAAATGATCTTGGCACCTGTGTCAAAAATCAATTAAACATAGATGTGGGGGCCCCTGGGTGGCTCAGTTGCTTAGGTGACTGCCTTCGGCTTGGGTCATGATCCTGGAGTCCCGGGATCGAGTCCTGCGTTGGGCTCCCTGCTCGGCGGGGAGTCTGCTTCTCCCTCTGACCCTCCCCCCCTCATGCTCTCTCTCTCAAATAAATAAATAAAATCTCTAAAAAAAAAAAACATAGATGTGAAAGTTTAGTCTCAATTCTTTCCATTTCGTCTCAATTCAGATCTGTGTGTCTATCCTTATGCTGGTACTATACTGTTTTGATACTGTAGGTTGTAATAAGTTTTGAAATTAGGAAGTGTGAGATCTCCAACTTTGCTCTTCTTTTTCAAGATTGTTTTAGCTATTCTGGATTCCTTGAAATTCCATATGCATTTTAGAATCTCTCTTTCCATTTCTGCAAAAGTGTTCTTGGGATTTTGATAGGGGATTCATCACACTGAGTCTGTGTATCATTTGAGGTAGTACTTAGTAGTACTAAATCTTCCAGTAGTGTTAAACCTTGATAGTATTATCATCTTAATAGTACTAAACCTTCCTGTCCTTGAACACAAGATATCTTTATTTAGGTCTTTTAAAATTTCCTTCAGCAACATTTTGTAGTTTTCAGTATATAAATCTTGCACCTCCTTGGTTAAATTTATTACAAAATATTTTGTTCTTTTTGATGTTATCATAATTGGATTTATTTTCTTTTAAAAAATTTATTATTATGTTTAGTTAGCCAGCATATCATTAGTTTTTGATGTAGTGTTCAATGATTCATTAGTTGCATATAACACCCAGTGCTCATCACCACACGTGTCCTTAATACCCACCACCTGGTTACCCCATTCCCCAACCCCCCTCCCTTCTGTAACCCTCAGTTTATTTCCTGGAGTCCAAAGTCTCTCATGGTTTGTCTCCCTCTCTGATTTCTTCCCATTCAGATTTCCCTCCCTTCTCCTATGGTCCCCTGTACTATTCCTTATGTTCCATATAAGCATTGTGGTCTGAGAATATGCAGGGAATAATCTCAATCTTTTGGTGTCAGTTGAGACCTGATTTGTGACCCATTATGTGGTCTATTCTGCAGAAAGTTCCATGTGCACTCGAGAAGAATGAGTATTCTGTTGTTTTAGGGTGGAATGTTCTGTATATATCTATGAAGTCCATCTGGTCCAGTGTGTCATTCAGAGCTCTTGTTTCTTTGCTGATTTTCTGCTTAGATGATCTGTCCGTTGCTGAGAGTGGAGTGCTGAAGTCTCCTACTATTAATGTACTATTATTAATATGTTTCTTTATTTTGGTTATTAATTGGTTTATATAATTGGCTGTTTCCGTGTTGGGGGCATGCTCCCTTTGTCGTCTAGTGCCTACTGTTTACTTGGTGTGTGCACATTTTTAAACTTTTCTCTGGTTTTTTCACTTTCATAAATTGTCAGGAAATTATTGAATAAATAGATTTAGATCTTTATTTGTATATTTTCAAGTTTTGGGTTTTCTAAAAGAATACCCTTGCCTTTTTGTCAAATGATAGAACCTTGTTATAGCATTTCTACCAATATACAACTGCAAAGAAGACAGTAGACATATACATACACTTAAAATCTCACCTCCCAGAAGTAATTATCCTGAA